GAGAGAGGAGGCCTCTATATCTTCTAGTAGCGTGGAATGGCAGACGGTGTCAAACGCCTTTGACAAGTCCAACGCTACTAGAATCGTTCTCTCACAGGGACGGTTTCGGTTTAGGCCACGAGTTATCTGAGTGTTTATGGCGTTAAGTGCTGTTGTTGTACTGTGCACTTTACGGAAACCACGCTGATGCTTCGCTGGGGTCAAGTGGTTTGTGAAATACGGGAGTAGCAAGGCCTCGAGTGTCTTCGCTACCGGGGAAAGGAGTGTTATCGGACGATAAGAATCTCCTTTGTTGGCAGGTTTCCCCGGTTTGAGCAGTGGGACCACTCTCCCCACCTTCCAGATGTCTGGGATGATGAGAGTGGCCATAGACAAATTGAGGACCTCCGTTAGGTACGCTATCCCCGCAGGACCCAAATTTTTCAGCATCAGCATGCATATTCCGTCGGGACCCATGGCTTTGGAGGCTTTCGCCTTCCCGATGGCCACCTGAACTTCACCGCAAGTGATATCAAGGGGGGCACAAGTTGTTGGCAGTTTGTGCAGCCTTCTGGTCACTCGACGCTTGGCTTTGTCCACCGGTGGATGCAGTATGAACTGCCGGCTAAAATAGCTCGCGCATCGCTCCGGGTCCGACGAAGCATGGTCGCCGAAGGAAATTTCGACTCTGTCGTCGTGCTTCGTCGGATTAGACAGTGACCTCACGGTTGACCAAAGCTTGCTCACACCAGAGGTGAAGTTACAGGTCTTCAGATGCTCCTCACACTTCTTCCGCTAATGTACGTTTACTAGTTGCCGAATCTCCGCGTTGAGATCCCTTGATACGGGGATCTCCGGGATCGGCCTGACGAAGGCTATCACGCTCATCGGCTAGAACAGCCGCTGCGGCAGGGAAGTTTGGACGTGGGTCCGTTATACATCCTGCCGGTATGAAGCGAGCTGCAGCAGCAGTGACAGCCCTGCGGAACTTACGTTCACCGAGATGGACGTCGGTTGGTATGGGAAGCGCTGTGAAGGTGTTTTCGGTAAACTCCGCGTAACCTTTCCAATCAGCTTTAGAAAAGTTGATATAGGTCCGGTGTTCGGCGGAAGCAAAGTCGGTTGGTTTATCTATCGAGATGACTATGGGTAGGTGTTCTGATGCTAAAGTCAGCATAGGTCGCCATGTTATGCTGTTTATCAGACCAGCGCTGACTATGGTGATGTCTGGCGAGCTACTGCAGTTACCCATAATCCTGGTGGGTGCGTCGTCGTTCATTGTGCAGAATGTCGAATCGTCTATCTGCTCAGCCAAGTCTGTTCCCCTACGATCGTTTGACAGGCTTGAGTGCCAAAGATCGTGGTGCGCATTAAAGTCACCTACTACCATACGGTTTTCACCTCTGAGGAGCGCACCTATATCAGGGTGATATCCTGCCGGGCAGCAGGTGACAGCGGGTATGTATATGTTAAATATTTCGAGCTCAACATCGCCTGACCGTATAGCAATGCCCTGACATTCTAGGGTGGTATCCCTGCGGTCGATGTCTGCTTCGATAAGACGATACTGCACGGTGTGGTGCGTGATGAACGCTAAGCCACCACCATTATCTCGCTCGCGATCTCGACGGTGCACGTTGTACCCGGCACAATTCAACAAAGTTGAATTGCTGTGCAACTTCGTCTCTTGGACCGCAGCTATCAATATACCATGCCGACACATGAAGACGGTTATCTTCTCAATCTTGCTCTGTAGCCCGTTGCAGTTAAATTGTAGGAGCTTCATGTGGTTCGGGAGACGTGTCGTGATGTGGGATGTAAGGGATGTGTGTGTTCTTACCGCCGTTGGCTGTGTGCGCTGCTGTGATGGTTGCCGCCCAGTGGTGGTGGCGGGAGGCGTCGCAGTTGAGGTCTGCGACCGAGCAGCGCAACACGGGCCCTCGAAGTTCCCAGTCCAATCTCGCGTGGTACGCAGACCTGAGCATGCCCTAAAGTGGCACCAGCCAAGGCAGGTGTTGCACTTGACTGATGTCACATTACGGAATATCCTGGTCTGACATACCGTGCAGATTGTAGGGGGAACCAGGAGTTGTTGGCGGCGGCGTGTGGGTAGTGGTGCGGTTGTGTGTGTTATGTGGTCTGTCGTGGCTGTGGTATGGTATGTGGTGTTATTATGTTGTTGTGCTGTGGTGACTGTGTGGGGCTGCTCGAACAGACTCGGACTGAGGTTAGCCGTGGAGGCTGCTCTGTTTGAGCAACAGGGGGCCACGTACGACGTGGTCCACTGTCGATGTGACCGTAGTCCTGAGCAGACTCTAAGGTGACTCCACCCCTCGCAGGCATTACACTTGACTGAGGTGGAGTTGTGGTGTAGTCATCTCCGGCATACACAGCAGGTGTAGATTTCTGGCCCTGGGTTTGACTCGATGCCAGCCCTGAGTAGAAGAATACGTAGTGAATGTAGCCCTATGGACGAACAACTTCTGAGATACTTCGCCGACCTAAACGGGGTTAGATCACCGAAACAACAGCCCTTGGTAAGGTAAAACCCGAGTCATTCCGGTACGTAGAACCGGCTGTCGTGGGAATGCCGTACGTTTAGTCGTTGGCCTTTATGTTGTACATGCAGTAGTTTCGCTTTATTTGCGTTAGTGAACATTTGATGTTAAACATGTGGTAAGCAAAATTTGACTCTGGTATTGCACTCGGTTTCTGGGTCTTTTTGTTATAGTCCCTTATATGTTCGCGAAATCTTGTTTTTATTTTCCGTCCTGTTTGACCTATATAACTATGCTGGCATTTGCAAGTTAGTTTATACACTCCTTGTTTATCCAATGGGTCTTCTTGATTTGTGGTGTTCCGCAGTATCCGTCCTACGTTGTTATTTGTTCTGAATGATGTGCGAAGGTTGTTTTTCTGGAACAGCTTTGCTAGTTTGTACGTTGACTTTCCAGTATAGGTTAATACCGCCCAATTTGTGTCATTGTTTTTTTCTTTGTTTGGCTTTCTGTTTTTGTGCTCCCTTCGGATTTCCTCTGGCGTATGCCGACGACATCGATATTATCGGTAAAAACAAGGGCTACGTCTATTCTGCCTTCTCGGGATTGGATAGAGAAGCAAAGCGAATGGGTCTAGTGGTGAACGAGGACAAAGCGAAGTATCTCCTGTCAGCACACAAACAGTCAGAGCATACGCGTCTTGGCACCCACGTTGTTGTTGTTGTTGTAGCAGCATACAAATTCCCCAAAGACTTTTTGGGGAGTGTTGCTGGAGTGACAGTCCTTGGCCAGATATAAATCTGGGTCGTTCCGGTTACGTAGGCCCGACTGTCGTGGGAACGTGGCACCCACGTCACTGTTGACAGTTACAAGTTTGAAAAAGTAGACGACTTCGTTTATTTGGGAACCAGCATTAACACCAATAATAATGTCAGCCTTGAAATCCAACGGAGAATCACTCTTGCCAACAAGTGCTACTTTGGGCTGAGTAGGCAATTGAGAAGTAAAGTCCTCTCTCGTCGTACAAAGATCACACTCTATAAGTCACTCATCATGCCTGTGCTGGTGTATGGCGCGGAAGCATGGACAATGAAAGCATCTGATGAGGCGGCTCTTGGAGTTTTCGAGAGAAAAGAGAAGAGAAATGACTGGCGTGCTGTTTTGGACTCGGCCAAAATCGCTTAGGCGGTTACAGCGCCAAATAAGAAGAAGAAGAAGAAGATCTCTCTTGTATCCGTTATTAGCCGCTATGGCATATATTGCGTTCAGTTCGTTTTTGTATCCTTCTTTGTTAGTGGTATTTGCTCAATTCTATTGGTCATCTGTCCAAAGGCGGCTTTTTTATGCTGATGAAGGTGGTTCGAAGTATTATGTATTATTGTATCTGTGGCTGTGGGCTTCCTAAAAATTTCATATTGCAGACTACTGGTCTTTTTATTTATTTTAATCGTCAGTTCTTAATAATTTAGCTATCCTTCCATTTCTTGTTCCATTGTGAACTTTATGTTGCTGTGCTGTTTGTTGAGGTATTCCAATATCTGTTCTTCATTTTTCTTTGTTATAAGACGTAAGATAATCTATGTACCTTTCTTCCAAATTCTGCATGAATACCTCCATAAGGATAGCCGATGTGGGGTTACCCATGCCTAGCCCGCTTGTTTGCATGTATACGTTGTTATTAAATTTAACGTAGTTTTGACAAAACGTCGTTCTGAGTGCGTTAGTTATCTCCACGGCGATTTTTCTGTTAGTATTTTGAACACAGAAGTCATGCAGACGCAATCGGGAGGTTGTGTTCTTTACAAGTTTCTATTTAAAAATCCTCGTACAAAAATGCTTTGAATAAATTTTTTTTCTGCACTTCACAAAACCTTTTTCGTATTCAGGACAAATAAAGGGAAGTTCTAAATTTTATATTATCATTTTGATATTATGTCTGACGGAATTCGGATATAGGACCAACTACTGCAGAATATGTAAACAAATATACAAATATGCAATGTTGAATGTAAATTAAATAAAAAAAATTTAAAAAAATGCTTTTTATTGATATTTTCTGTCCAAAAGTAGTTAGTTACAAGTTAGTTAATATGTAATGTATCCAGGTCTGAGTTTTTTGCGGCCATCGCCCCACAAAAGTAGTTAGCTTTTTTCGAACAAAATAAACAGTTAATAGTTAGCACTAGTGTTCGCGTAAACAGACTAAAGTTAGGTATAAGCTAACGTCACTCCCTGCAGGGGTTTGATCTAAGAAAAAACGTTGAGTAAATAAAGTGTTGAGCATATTTTCTTTCTAGATGGCATTGATTCCACGACCTGCTGAGTCCATGTGACCACCATGCAAAAAATCGACAGATGCCCGATTTTGTACTTTAATTTGACTGTACTAAAAGTTGACAAAAATGATTGCATTTTATTCCAAAATGCAAACTCAGTACGGTCTCTAATTTTTCAGCGAAAATAGAAAAAATTTCTCTTGAAATAATAATGAAGCAATAACAGTATGGTTATTGGTATCTTAACTTACGTTAGTGAGTTGTTAAGAATGTCTCTCTCTTTAAGCAATGCCTCCATTTGATCTTTCAACTGGTTACGTTCAGCACGCAAATGTTTAATATGGTCCGCACCTTTCTGCAGCATAGCCGCTTTACTTAGCTGTAAGATTAAGCGAGTTTTATTGAGTTTTATTCTATACTTTTTTGCATTATACATTTTATACATATATTACGTTGAGCTAAGTTTTTTTTACTTACTTTGGCATTGGGATTCTGTTGCAGTTGCGGTATAAGCGAATGCAGTAGATCAAACCCGTTCTTAATGTTATATCGCCTCTTTTGCTCTGCGTGTATATGACCGGCACGCCTCTGATTCTCCCTGGGAAACTTTAAGCTATGTGTCGGGGAAAGAGGTGAGTCTTGGTCATGAAATGATTCTGGGGACAAACTCAAAGCATTTGTACACATCGCTGCAGCTTGACTCGCAGTTGGTGGATAGCTTAGCATCTGAAAAAAAACAGTTTCCGTTAACATAAATACTATTCGTAATTTCTAAATGATATTTGAATTAAGCTAACCTTACTACCAGGCGGGCTATGCAACATTTGTGGTGCTGCCGGTGTCGGCAGAGAAGTAGATTTCTTTGGTGACTTTTGCCGTTGTTCTTGCTGCATTTGTATCCCATGACGAGAGTATGTGGTCTCTGCAGATGTTCCGGTCGTTGTAGTTATCGTGCATTGAACATTGGGAGTTACAAAGTAATTTTTAGTGGTGGGTAAGTTGCCAATATTTTGAGTTTTATTGGTATTAAGAGGCACAGCCGATGACGCCGGTGGAGGTACCACCACCGTTGGCATTGCTATGGCAGGCATTGGTACGCTTAAATTTGATATGGCACTTGAGGAAGAACTCTGTTTTGTCTTAATCAGCGAGCGTGAATCTATGTAAAGAGAATTATATATGTAAAGCGGCAGACAAAATAAGTTATCTGTTATCTTTAGCTGAAAACCCTTCAAAACCACGAATGTTCCGAAAAGAGTACTAAACTTTAAAAATTCGCATAAAATATTCCCTCAAGATTCGAATTTTCTACCCTTCGCATTTCATCTTCAAAATGTGTTTTCTATTTGGTGCTTATACATACATATGTACCTACGTATGTAGTATGTATGTATATCAGGGTGGGGTTATAGAGCTTCATGTCAAAGGAATTCCTGTTCCGTGCTACACCGAAAGCCATCAGGGTAGTTGCGTGAACAGATGACATAGCTATACTGATCATAGGTACCAGGGTTGTTGCGAATATGCGCATTCGGAGCTTCCGCATTAATTTTAACATTCGCATTCGCTTTCGCATTCGCAATAATCAATGCCGAGCTTTTGCGAATGCGAATATTTTGCAAGTGGACCGATAAAACGTATATATGGCAAAAAAAAATTACATATTGTAGCCAATATTTTTGCCTGTAGTCGTAGGAGTATTTGTGTAACAAAACTGGTCAAATGTCATATTTATAAACTTTGATAAAAATGTCTTTAAAATATTATATCTTAAGCTACATAACCGAGCTATCAATGGGCAGCCATAAAAGTTCCCACTTCTACTTGACCTTTGACGTACGTCAAAGAGAATATAGTCCTTTTAATAATATTTTTTTTACTGTGCTTTAAATACCTGCTTTGGCTTCTTTCTTTATTATGATTTTTTTGGATCAATCTTAAAATAAGAAAACTACTAGATACAAAATAAGAAAGTGTGCACTGTAATTCTTAACAAAATATTCGTGATTTGCTTTTGATGTTATAGGCGGCATACACGGTGCGTCGGTTTGAATGTGTTTGTGAAAATAAATAAGTTATAGTTACACCAACATGACTCCCGGCATGACTCTGAATGATTCAACTGTGTGTAGTCGAAGGCGAGTCAACACGTATACAAATGACTCGCGAGTCAGACGTACCGCGTATGCCACCTATTACATATATTCGTTTGAATAATTTCAAATGAGGCTCTTTGGGGAATTTATTTTTAGCAAAAATTTTAAAAACAGTAGTTTTGTTTACTTGTTGGATAATATTTTTTTCATAGGGATATACATTGGATCCTTGGCTAAAAACTTT